AGATAGTATAATAAATATATAGGAAAACACAAATAAATAAATTTCTTGAACAAAAGACAAGAGACAAATATTTCTCATACATAGATTCCATTTTGTGCTTAGCATTTCATAGGAGCTCAGTCGCAGCTTCGGCTTGATCGGCTCTGAATTGGGTCAATTCGGTTGCGGGTTTCGGGTTTCGGGATTGACAAAATGTGAGGAAAACTTTGTCAATTTGAGAACATTTCAATCGGGTTTTCTTTTTGCATAGACAAACCCTTGTTGGTCGCATATGCCTGACGGCTAATCTGCTGCTGCTACAGCTTCTCCCGCCTCTCAGCGACTCCTGCTCCATCCCCCTCTGCTTGAGTTTAGTTGGTGCGTAAAGTTCTTCTTGCTTGGTCAATCAAAATTCATCGATAAATTACCAAAAGTTGCCTAGCCCCGAGGGCAGGCACAGCCATAGCTGCCCCGGCCGCTGCCCCTGTCACTGCTACTGCCTCGGCTGCGGTCTCTGCTGCTACTGCTGCTACTGCTGCTGCTGCTTCTTCTGTGGCACAAACAATCGGCAGCAATTTTGGCGAGTTCATTGCGACTCGAATTAATTGCAGGCGCCTCACAACATTTTTCGGCATTTCGCTGGAATTTATGTGCACATATATCCACACACACTCGCACACACATGCAAATAGTGCCGAGCAGGAGGGGAAGGAGGGGATGAGGAGGTGTGGGCATAGATTACATTCGATTGAGTGTGGTTTTTGCTGGGGTGAACTTACCATTTGTCGCTTTATTTGGGCGCGCGCAAATACATAAATTAGCAGTGCAAGCGAATCGATTCGCGTAATACTAGCCGACGTCCCGGCCCCGCCCCCTCCCCCGCCGCCCACGTTTCGAGCCCAGCAACTGCAGCAGCAGCAGCAGTACGCCCTCTTATCAGCGCCCAGAGCAGTGTCCATATGTAAATAAGTGGGTAGCGGCAGGAGGAGGGGGAGTACGAGCAGGAGCAGGAGCAGGAGGAGGAGGAGGAGGAGGCTTTTGGGCAGGGCTGTCATAGCATTTGGCATTTGGTCATGGGTGCTGCCAGCTACAACTTTGCCAGCGTAAAAACCCAACCAAATTGCCAGCCGTAAATTGTTGTTGCAAATCAATTGTGACACATCCARCTAAGTGTGTGTGTGTGTGTACGAGTGTGTGTGAATGGCAAGCCAAATGCCAAATGCCAATTGCCAATTGCCAATTTGCAATTAATATTTACTGTGCTTAATGCATGGAAACTCTGATTAGCGAAACTTATCGATAAGTTGCTGTAAATCGATTGATACCTTTATCGATATTGATTTTTCGTAAGCTCCATTCGTCCACTCCAAATGGTAGAGACTCTGCCCTAGATGTGAGACAATTATTCATGGCAGTCGAGCGGGAATCGCTGCCATAAAAGCTGAAAACGTAGTGGAGGAAAAGTAGATTAGGCAACGGGCGTGCAACCACCCGGCGGAGAGCTCATGTGGTTAGCTTGGCGGCGCATTAAGCCAGAATTGATGGCCAACTTGCGATGGCCATAAAAGCGAGAGGCGCTGCCCAAATTTATGAACTGCAAGTGCAAAAGTGTCACACAGCTAACAGCGGGTGGTGCGGGTGGTGCGGGGTGGCTCAGCACCAGAGTCGAATAACGTTGGCTAAGCCGAGAAGACAAAGAGAGTAACCAATTTGTTTGCCCATTGCAGATTCCGACTCGACAGAGAACGATGCGGTCGCCGCGCAGGACATCCTCACGTGCGGCGCATGCCAGAAGACCTTCGCGCTGTCGGACATTGTCCGCTTCATACAGCACAAGGTGATGCAGTGCAACAAGGAGAACTACGGCCAGTGCACCACACAGGCGCCCAGCATGGATCGCGATGCCGACGAGGGCCGTCCGCTGAGCCTGGTCAATCGCCGTCCATCGATATCGGCGCCAATCACAGGTCGCAAGTCGGCTCCGGTTGGTGTGGCACCACCCACCGCAACCGCTGCCGCTGCTGCGGCCACAGCTGCTGCTGCTGCGGCGGCGGCGGCGGCTGCTGCGGCCGTTGCGAGCAGCGCAGCGAGCGGCTCACGCATCCACACACCACCGCCCAGTCCGGCTGATCTGCTGGCGGACGGAGCAAGCAGCACGCCCAAGCGCCTCGTGGATGGTAAGTAACCCAGCACAGCTCAGCGGCCCATGACTAACCCTTCCATGTCCTCGACAGAGAACGACAATACAACGCCCAAGGCGGACAGCGAGGCGCTGCCTCTGCAGCCGCACAGTCCACAGTCCGGCGAGCAGGACGTTCACATCGGACGCGCTGCGATCGAGGACTGCGCCCTGCTCGACGACAAGCCAAAGGTCAAGCAGGAGCCCCTCGCCGACGACGAGCTGCCGCAAGAGGAGCAGCAGCTCGACGAGGAGCAGCAGCAACAGCAGCAGCAGCAGGAGGAGCAGCGGGAGCAGGAGCGGGAGCGAGAACTGGAGCAGTCGCAGGTGCTGCCAGCGGGCGACGAGTGCCAGCAGCCGCTGGCCAAGCGACCCAAAATGGAGCTCGTCGATGCCGAGGCCAACACGGTGCATACAGGTGAGCAGCGGGCCCACATTCTGTGGCATGCTTGTTATATGCGCATATTTGCGTAATCAAAATTAAAAGCCAGAAAGCCACCACCCCCTGCCCCCTGAACCCAGCCACCGACCATGCCCATGTCCATGCCTTGCTTTAGTGACCAGCGCCAAAATAAAAATTAAAAAAAAAAAATTAAAAATTAAAATCAAGATCAAACGAGGCGGCAAAAATGTGCACTAAAAAATGTGTTTGAAGTGCGTGTGTGTGTGTGTGTTACTGTGTGTATGTGTGTGTGTGTCAAAGGATGTGCATTCGCGGCTGCCCATAAGTCCTTGCTGATCGGGCCGCGGGGCTGCTGAGCGCGCGATAAGCTGCAGCTGCATTATCACAACAAAGCCCCCTTCGCCTACGGCTCTGACTCTGCCCCTGTCCGTCTCCCCGTTCCCATCCCTATTCCCACATTCAGCATCGCTCAGGACCTTTCTGACCAATTGCGCTGTAAAACGCTTTGTCCTGCGACACAGAGGGAAAAAAGTAAAAAAGCAGCTGAGAGAATGTCGAAGGACATGCAGTAAAAAAATGAGAACGTGGGCGACATCAAAGCGCAAAACGGCTGATAAAGCTGAAGTGCAGCAGGACCAAAAAGGACACTCGGACAACAGGCGAGCGCAGAGAGTGAGAGAAAGAGAGAGAGAGAGAGAGAGAGAGAGCGAGCTTCGATTGTCACGCGGCTGCTGCTGCTGCTGCCCTTTGACTTTGACATTTTTCAATGCAAATGCTGCGAACGATGAAGCTGATGAAAAGCCAAAGCCCAGCGCCAAAAGACAGCAATAAAAACAATAACAAGGACTACGGCCATGGGAGAGAGAGGGAGAGAGGCAGTGGAGTTATGGACAGGTCAAAGAGCGAAGAGGGAAAGGATAAGCCCAACAGGACAGTGAACAAAGCAGCAGAAAGCAGAAGCTGTAGCAGAAGCTGTCAGCAGCCACAGAAGTCGAGCTGCCCTCGAGGGTAATTTAAAGAGGCAAAGGAATGTGCGAGAGAGAGAGAGAGAGAGAGAGCAGGAGAGGGAGAAAGAGTGGGTAAAAAAAACCACTTGAGTGGACAAAGGACACAGGACACTCGAGTGCGAATGTGAATAGGAACGGGAATGGGAATGGGAACGGGAATGCGAATGCGAACTGGATTTGACACACGCACAAAGGCGAAGAATGCCAAGAAGTTGCTAAAGGGGTTGAGGCAAGGCCCAGGGGTCAGGACTCGGGGGTCAGAAGTCGGGGCGCACGTTGACCATTGAGGCGGTCAGCTTGACCAACGGAAGGCGCGCCACGTGCCGAGCGGGTTGAGCGGAGTCAAAGGTGAGACGCGACAAGCCACGCGACGTCAATCGACAGGCGCCGTTCGAGTTCGACTTGATTGATTGAGTAATTGAATGAGTGAATAGATGAATGAGTGCACAGCAGGTATGAGTGCAGTTATTCAGTTGCACTTAGTAACGTCTCTGAATACTAATGATGCACACTTTTGAGTACACTCATGAATACTTACTACATGAGTGCATTCCATCATTGAAATTGAGTGATTGATATAAATATTTAGTTTTTGATAATTTGTCATTATCGAATTCATGATTGCTTATGAATACACTCAAAATACTCATGATCCTCATCATTGAAATTGGAAAGTGTTTTCCATATCTACATTCCTGAATACTCGTAAATACACTGATGAATAAAAACTTAAAATCAAAGAAAATATGTCAGGTTTTTTATTTCCTTTCCTAGTATTTACTCATGAATACTTATGAATATATTCATAAATATCTGCATGTGTATAGTTGATTCATTTATCATTATTTTGCTGACCTGCTCTTATGTTCGTTGTCAGCAATGCGCTGGTGAGTGCACTCATGAATACACTCACATGTTAGTTAAACCTGTCCAAGTGAATTTTTCGCTGATGAACTTGCCTAAGCCATCAGCGCTTGACACTTGATGCGTGTCATTCGCATTTGAATGCCGCATGCGAGTACACACTCATACATTGTCGCAATTTAACCCTTGAACTTTGCGCTTTTGACACGGGCAACAGCAACAGCGACAACAGCAGCAACAGCAACAGCAGCGACAAAAGTTAACAGCAACAAAGTTGTTTGACTCCTGACAATGCAAAACTGTCAGCACATCAGCGCAGTGGCCGCAGATACAAATACAGATACAGATACACATACAGATACAGATACAGTTGCAGATGTATCTGTAGCTGTCACGTTAATTACGCATTGTTTGACTTTTTTCATGATTCGTATTTTTCTGCTCGCATTCAAGAATTGCTGCTGCTGCTGTTGCTGCTGCTGCTGCTGCGGCTGTCCTCGCATCCAATTGTTGTCCATTTGGTAATTATAAATATGAAGCGACTGCTGCCATAGCTACCACACACGAATACACTCACACACACACTCACACACACGCAGAAGCAGAGGACTCGCTGTGAAAAACTGTCAACAAAATGGGGGGAAAATTTAAATATTTGTTGCGCAGCGCGCGAATGTCACGAAAAATTTTTTACACGCTTTTTACGCTGTTCGCCTGTCAGCACACATGTATGCGTATGTGTATGTGTGCGTGTGTGTGCGAGTGTGTGTGTGTGTGTGTCATGTTAATTATCAATTTGCTGGCAAAGTTTCAAATGCACAGCGTGTCGCGACCGCAGCAACAATGAAAAACCATCAGCCGAGAGTGGGTTGAGTTCTACCTTTATTTTCATTTTCATTTTCAGTTTTTTTTTTCGGCGGGGGGTTGGGGGTGCCGCACGGCACACAGGTCGCACAGGTCAGCCAAAAGGACAACAGTGCTTGAACCCATTTTATCAATACACAGCCTCAGCCGCTTTCGCCTGCCCCTTGCCACCACACCCCTTCCCCCTTCCGCCTTTCCCCTCACCCAGTCGACCACTTCTATCCACTTCCAGGCATTCAGTCAGGCAGTCCGCTTTTCGCATTCACCGCACTCGCATTCAATTATTGACTCATGCTGGCACTAAGCCAGGCATTAGTGTCGCCCCCTTTTTTAAATATGTGTGCATAAAATAAAAGTGCCACGCCTCCGGCCGCCTCGGTGTCGAGCCACCTGCTTGCCATCTCAATATCGAAATCAATGGCTAATGCGCTCGGCTCATGCAATTCCACGTCCACCCACAAAAAGGATTACGCGCGCGCCTTTCTTTGTGCCACAACAACGACAACAACAACACAACAAAAAAGAAGAAGACAAGAAAAGGATATACAGCGAAAGGCTTAGGCAAAGGTCGAGCCATGCAAATCGCCGCAGGAGCCCGCAGGACACTCGACGGCTGCGTTGGCAACATGCGGCAAAAAGCTGCAACAATTATCCCATTACTGTGCAACCCTTTTTTCAAGTGTGTGCGTGTGTGTGTGTGCGTGTGTGTGTGTGTGTGACTGTGTGGCTGCTGCTGCTGCTGCTGCCCACCCGCTGACCTCTCGTCCTTTGCCTGGCATTGCTCATACGTGGCGTTGTCCTGGCGCACTTCCTGGCTCCACTTTGCAGCAGGCGGTCAATTTGCCATTTCCTGGCTCGAGACGAGCCGAGACGAGCCGAGACGGGACGCGACTTGGCTTTTCTTTGTTTAGCTCGCTTCCGTCTGAGCTGCTTTGAATGCAGTCACTCGGGTCACTTGAGCGGGAGCTGAAGCTGGAGCTGGAGCTGGAGTTGGACTCCCAACTCCCGCAGGACAATGCCAGCGGGCGAGCAGCAGCAGCAACAGCAGCGCTCAACGAGCTGCCAAAATCAGAGCGTGCCAGGCGCAGGGCAGACAACAGACAGGCAGACAGACAGACAGACAGACAGACAGCGATACAGACATTTAGACAGGCAGGCAGCAGTTGCGTCTGCCAGGACGTAAAGGATGCGCGCTTGGCGCGTGCGCAACGCGCGTCTCTCTAAATGCCTATAAAAAAAAAAAAACAACAAAAAGTAGGAGCAGTTGGCAAATGCCGCACGTTTTTCGACAACTTTTGCCTCGTTTTTTATGACAATCATGATGTGCCCGAATGATAATGATCATGAGATCCCTAACAACAGCAACAACAGCAGTTGGCTGCCCCCTGTGCAACCCCTAACCCCTGAGGAGCAGCAACCCTTTATTTGAGAATCGAGTTATGTGTATCTGTCAGATTCATTTGCATTTCCTGCGGCCCGCATCAGGCCAGGATTTTGGGCACAAGAGATCCGCCTGCCCTCCGTCCGCCCTCTCTCGCCAGCAACCCATTGATCGGCATTGTCCTTGCGTCGGGGTCGTAGCCAAATCATGTTCAGCACGCTCTCACCTTTGACAGGAAGTTAAATATAAAAAACAAAGAGGAAAAAAAAAGAGAAAACGAAAACGAAAACGAGAAGCTGCAGCCGCGCGGAACGTCATAAAACCAACGAAAAACTAAACAAAAGAAAAAGCAAAAGTGTAGTTACCTCATCTCTCTCCCTGTCTCTATCTCTCTCTCTCTCTCTCTCGCTCAGCTGTTGAGCTCAACCTTTATGGACTCGTGCGCGACATGCGTTTTCCTCCTCCAGCTCCTCGCTCAGTTTCATTTTCATTTCCATTTCCATTTTCATTTTCAATATTTTTTAAAGCGTCATTTAAATGCAAAGTGCGTTGCACAGTTTTCCACAGTTTTCCACAGTTACTGCTTCTGCTTCTGCTTCCTCCCCGCACCCGAGGGGTAGCTGGCTTCTAATAGAGGCGCATTAACACCTTGTTGCCCGCATGGCCAGCGTCTGCGGTGACATGTGTTGACCTGTGCAGCAGCAGCTTCCATCGATTAGCCCCGTGCCCAGTCTGTGCCTCGTTGGCTACGTGCTGATACCCTAACCCGGGCAGGGCCACAAAGGCCTCCAGCCTGGCCTGTAGCTATTCCATATATAACATACATATATAGATAGAGAGATGGATTCGGTCTCCTCATTTCCTCATCTACTTACTCTAGTTAGCTCTTGGCTATGTTGAGCTTAGGAATTATTCTTTGTTAGCTATTCTCCCACTCTCTCTCTCTCTCTCTCTCTCCCCCTCTCTCTCTCTCTCTCTCTCTCTCTCTCTCTCTTCACAATCTCAATCTTCATTCTTCAATAGAGATGTGCCATTCTCTTCCTCCTCTTTTCCTTATCTAGTCTCATCGTTCGTTTCCTTTGCCTTAGCGTATTTGCAATTCGTTTTCTTGCTTTGCTTTTCGTTTGCTTCGCTTTGGCTCTCATCGCTTCGCATCTTTTTACTATTATTATTATTATTATTTTTGCTGTCTTCGGTTTTTTTTTATTTTTTTATATTCTTGGCGTAGCAAATTTTCACATTTTCACATTTTTCATTTTAAAAATCGCATCTGTTGCGTTCTCCCCCGCCTGCGCTCCCCCAATTGAACCCTCGTCGATAGTTATGGCCACATGTGTGTGTGTGTGTGTGAGTGTGTGGATGTGTGGGCTTGTAATTTCCGCCGCAGGACATGTGGCTCCTTTCGGGTGGTTTTGGTGGTTTCTGATTTTCAGTGGCGTTTTACGGTTTACAGTTTTCGGTTTCCGTGGCAAATTAACAAACGTCGCGACAAACCGCACGGCAAATCACATAAAAAAAAAAAAGAAGTGAAAAAGAAGCAGAAACTATTACGATACATGACATGTGTAGGTGTGTGTGTGTGTGTGTGTGTGTGGGTGTGTTTGGCAATATCCTGCTGTAAGGGACAGCACCTGCAGCTGTTGCTGCTGCTGCTGCTGATGTTGCTGCCGCGCGCCCATTTGTATGCTAAGCACGCCAGCAACACGCGCCTCTCTTTCCCTCTCTCTTTCTCACATTATCTCTGTCTCTGTATGCGTGTGTGTGTGCGTATTGCACACAAAATCAATAAATAAATAAATTCGCCGCCGAAACTTTGCAGCAGCAAATATCTGCAACATATCCGCCCTGCCCCCTCCGCCCACTCCCGCCCACCGCTGGCATTTATTAATAATTAATAAGGCAAATTGCTGGCAGCCTCATTTCCTGCCAGTTCACATATTTGACAGACAACATAACTAAACTACCTCTCTCCCTCTTTCCCCCCCTCTCTCCGTGCAGAGCCCAGCAACTATACGTGTTCGAGATGCAAGACCCGCTACACCTCCGCCTGGCGCCTCATCCAGCACGTGCAGCACTCGCACGGCGTCAAGATCTACGTGGAGGCAGGTCTGACTGTGGCCACGCCCGCCGCCCTCAACGCAGCCGCGTCGGCGGCCGCGAACGCCAGCCTAAGCCCCAACCGCAGCCTCAGCCCCTCATCGGCCGCAGCAGCAGCAGCGGCGGCAGCAGCAGCAGCAGCAACCGTTGGCATGCCGCTGCCGTTGCATGCGCTGATGGCGCAGGCCGTCGCCTCGCAGTCGCAGTCAACGTCACAGTCGGCGTCAGCATCGCCGGCCCCGAAGCGCAGCAGCAGCAACAGCAGCGCAACGGCGATTGTTGGTGGTGCCGGCTCGGCCAACACCAGCAGCAGCAGCACTGCGAGCAGCGGCAACTCACCGACACAGCAACTGTTGCAGCAGCGCGTACAGCAGCAGCAGCATCAGCAGCAGCAGCAACAGCAGCAGCAGCAGCAACAGCAACAACAGCAACAGAACATGGCAACGGCAATGGCAGCGGGCATGCGCCATCATCCGCTCCTGGCGCCGCCCGAGGCGATGCACGCGAACCCGTTCCAGCTGCTCCGCATGCCGCTGCCCCCGGCGCTGGCCCAGGGCAATGTAGTTCCTAGCGTGGCGCCCCTCTTCGGCCGCCCCACGCCCGCCGACCACTACCGCATGGAGCAGCTGGTCAGCGAGCAGTTCCGCCATCACGGCTTCAATCTGGCTGCCGCCGCCGCCGCCGCCCAGGCCCAGTTCAACGCCACCACCCAGCAGCAGCAGCAGCAGCAGCAACAACAGCAGCAGCCGCTGCCAGGAGTTGCCGTCAATGTTCCTAGCGGCGTCGAGCCACGGCCGCCCTCGAGCAACAGCAGTCAGCGCGGCTCAGTGCCGCCCGCTGCGTTGCCGCCTCCGTCGCTCAGCTCTCAGCAGCAACAGCAACAGCAGCAGCAGCAACAGCAGCAGCAACAACAACAGCAGCAACAGCAGCACCAGCAACAGCAGCAACAACAGCAGCAGCAGCAACTGCAGCAGCAGCAACAGCAACAGCAACCCATTGCCGCCGCTGTGAGTCCAGCGGGCGCCGCATTGCAACTGGAACCGCAGCAGATGGATTTTTACTCGCAGCGATTGCGTCAGCTTGCGGGCACAACAAGCCCTGGAGCTGGCAACATTGTTAACTCGAGCTCGCCGAGTCCTAGACAGAAGCAATCGCCGCGCTTTGCGAGCCCCTCGCCCAGCTCCGCAGCCAGCTCTGTGCAGCTGACGGCGACCCCGCGGCCCCACTCCCTGACGCCGCCCGAGAAGAGCGCCGAGAATGGCGGCGGACAGCTCGGACAGCTGCCGGGCACGCCGCGGAGCACGGCCAGCACGCCGCCCAGCAAGCCCTTGGAGGGCGAGCGCAGCGAGGCGGAGCTGGAGGCGAGCTGCTATGCGTGCGGCTACTGCGACAAGAAGTTCCGCTTCGAGAACAATCTGATCATCCACCAGCGGACGCACACCGGCGAGAAGCCGTACAAGTGCACCGCCTGCGACTTCGAGTGCTCCCACATCCAGAAGCTGATGAAGCACATGCGCGTCCATCGCAGCCCCGCCGAGGGCCAGGACGGCAGCAGCAGCAACGGCGGCGACAACAACCAGGATGGCCATGACGGGGGCAGCAACGCCGACTCCTTGGAGACGAACGAGGCGGACAACGACGAGGATCCCAATCCGGAGGACTCCGACGAGGAGCTCAACGACGAGGACGTCGATGCGGACGCGGATGCGGAAGAGGACGACGAGGACGAGCTGGACGATTGCGAGGACGTTGACTACGAGGCCGAGGATCTCAGCGTCAACAATCGCATCGACGGCAAGAGCCAGAGCCCAAAGACGACCAGCTCCGGCGCCACCTCGCTGGTGGGCGAGCTCATGGACAAGTTCGGCCTGTCCAACATCGCCCAGTACTCGGAGGCCTACAAGCAGGCGCTGCAGGAGTCGGGCCGCAAGGAGGCGGCTGCCGTGGCCGCAGCTGCTGCCGCCGCCGCCGCCGTSGACAACAACAACCGCGGCTCCTCCGTGCCAGGAGGCGCCTCGAATGCAGCAGGCGCTGCTGGCGATAAGCTGAACGGGCTGCCGGTGGCCGCGCTGCGGCTGCGCGACGAGTTCGCCAAGAACTGCAACATGTTCCAGCCACAGCCGCAGGACGGGCCCGCCCAGGTGCCGCTCTTCAATCCGTTCCCCAATCCCTTCGAGCTGTCCAAGCGCATGAAAATGGACGGCGGCGACTGGTGGGGCATGTCGGCGCTGCACCGCAACGAGGCGCTGTTCGAGAACCTCAAGCTGAAGCCGCTCGGGCTGGGCGGCGCCAACTCGCTGCTGCAGGGACCCCTGCTGAAGAAGGAGTCGCGCCAGAGGAACGACACCTGCGAGTTCTGCGGCAAGGTGTTCAAGAACTGCTCCAACCTGACCGTGCACCGGCGCAGCCACACCGGCGAGAAGCCGTACAAGTGCGAGCTGTGCTCCTACGCCTGCGCCCAGAGCTCCAAGCTCACCCGCCACATGAAGACGCACGGCCGCACCGGCAAGGACGTCTACCGCTGTCGCTTCTGCGACATGCCCTTCAGCGTGCCCTCCACCCTCGAGAAGCACATGCGCAAGTGCGTCGTCAACCAGGGCAAGGCGGCGGCCGCTGCGGCGAATGCGGCCAATGCTGTGGCTGCTGCCCAGGCAGCCGCTGCCGCGCAACAGTTGCAGGCAGCTGCCCAGGCCCAGCAGCAGCAGCAGCAGCAACAACAGCAGCAGCAACAACAGCAGCAGCAGCAACAGTTGCCCACACAGTCGTCGCCCTGCCCCATGGGCGTGGCTGTGGGCTTTCCGCCGCAATTCGGACACAATCTGTCGCTGGCGGGCAGCGTGAGCGGCGACAACGACTCCAACGCTTCTTCCAGCCTGCCGGCGCACTCCATCTCGCTGAAGGAGGAGGCATGACTTTTTAGCAGCTGGAGCAGCAGCAGCAGCAGCAGCAACCACAACCACAACCACCCGCCGCCCACGTTGCATGGCCCGCTGGCTGCACATGTGCTACAGCCGCATCCACACGCGCTGCTGCCGCCCGTACAACAGCACCACCACCTCCAGCAGCAGCAGCAGCAGCAGCAAGTGCAGCAGCACCACCATCATCCGTTGGCCAGCAGCCGCAGCCGCCTCATGTCGCGCATCTTCTAAAGATGTTGCACCTAGCCCTCGAGCCCCGCCCCGCCCCGCCTCCGCCTTCGCCCCTTGTACATATGAAGTGAAGCACAGTTGTCGTACGGTTATGATACAGCCCCCCTCCCCAGGTACGGCCCAACCCTCTCGCCCCCTGCAACTGCAACTTTCTAAAAGATTGCGCCAGCAGTTGTTGTTGCCCCATGCAAGCATTCGGCTGCTCCTTGAAGGCGACTTACAACACGACCAGAGGCATTTAATACCAAAGCAATAACCGTTATGTAATATAATTTTAAACAAAAAACTCAATTTTTTTTTCAACAATTTTTTTTTTATTACGTTTTATATATGTGTGTGTGTCTGCTAAAGAAGTACTATACTACATATACCTAAATATAGAAATATATATGTATATATGCATGCATATATGAATATATGTATTTACGATTAATTTTCACAATTTTTTTTCCAAGTTTTTTTTTTTAATATTTTTAAAATACTTAATTTATGCGAAACATATATTTAAATATATATATATTAAAAATTAAGAATATATGCGGCAGGACAACTGCGTCTGACACATTTTCCAGTGTATTTATAGCAATTAAGTAAAACAAAAACAAAAAACAAAAGAATAAGAAACAAAACATTTGTATAAAAGAAAAACCAACAAAAAATACTTTAAAAAATACTACTACTGTGGGAAAAACACTAAGAGTAAATCCAAAAAAGGAAAAAAAGACACGACAAAATACATAATTACTATATACTATATATAGTAGACTTATATATAAATCTTTTTTTGTGTGTGTTTTAAGATCGCGTATTTGTTAAACATCGATGTACATTTTAGTAAATCTAGAAATTTAGGCACTAAAGAGCAACACTTGTATAAAAGAATTCTTATTAACTATAATTATTACGGTATAACGATATATGAGCATATGCATATACATATATATTAACAGATAT